TTGATGAACAACTGAACAACAGGAGGACAGTGCTACAGTGCTACAGTCAAATTTAAGGTAGTAGCCTACAGGCTTGGAGGCTACATCCTTTTGAGATGCAAATAAATCAAGAGCTCTTGGGGGATGGAGAAACCCTGAGGCAGCGGACCTCTTCAGAAAAGAAGCTACAGAGGAATCTCAAACTTGGATAAGAATATACAAGGACTAAAACGGGTGTAAAGCTTCCCTGTGACAATGACCATATTAAAATTTCTGTATGCAGAGAACTCCTGACCAAGACAAGTTAGAAAAATTATATATAACCTTCCAAAAGTCATTCTCTGCATCCTTTTTCCCTCTAGGGGAGACTATGTTCTCTCTCTCTCACTCTCTCTCTCTCTCTCTCCCCGCCCCCTCACTCCTCTCCAGATTTCATTCTTTTTTATTTTGCTCTATGTGTCACACCCAGCCGTGCACAGGAGTTTCTCCTGGCTTTGTATTCAAGAATTACTCCTGGCGGTGCTGGGGCACCATATGGGATGCTGGGAATAGAACCCACGTCGGCCGTGTGCAAGGCAAACTCCCTACCCGCTGTACTATTGCTCCAGCTCTCTCTCCAAATTTCTTTTAAAAAATAATTTGCTTTGCACCTGTGGTAACACAGGTATGAGCAATGCTGACTTCCGGGACTCCTGGGTGGACTGACGGGTTTCATTGACAACAAGAGTGCATGACACTGAGATTCAGAAAAGTTTGAAGAGTTTCTTCTTGGTTCAGATAATCCACTTTTCTATAACTCTGAAACAATCACCTCCCTGTTAGCACAAGAGCAGATTTATCCTTCTCTAGTGGGTTTTTAGATCAATATGAAGGATTTGCATATAAAACTCAGATGCCTAAGAAATGCAAGCTTATGACAGAGTTCCAATAGATGGGTCCGGGTAACTGTCTGTGTCCCCTCTGGCCAGCAGTCTGTCTCCAGTGTCTGCATGTGAGTATTTGATTTTGTTCCTATACCCTTCTCTATTCACTAGTCTTTGCTCTCATCTGAAATCTTGTCCCTGGGCCTCTTTAGGAATGTCCCATTTCAATTCTCTGTCTTCTGGTTGTGCTTAGTCTCCAGCCATAGCCACGTGAGTATGAGAGAGACTCAATGTTCACTATCCTGTTACTCTCTGGGTGTGGGAGGGAGCCCTGCCTAACTCCACAGTCTGTCTGGGCATAGGTGACTGTGCCAAGAGTACCAGGAGCCTGATATCTGCAGTTATTTCCCACCCTCATCTCCCATCATCTGTTCTTGATTGGGTACCTTTCAGACAGGTAAAATCAAAGCAATCTGATTAGATTAAGCTTAGATTAACAAATCTATCTGGCACCCAACCCTTCCACCTCCACTGTATCACTCCGTTTTCACATATTTGTCATTTCTGGAGTTCAGAGTGAGTCCTAATACAAACCAGTCCCTCTTCAGGTGTCCTCCTCAATATCTGAGCTAAACTGACCCCAGTGCGCCACTGCAGGTTTATTCATCAGTCAGTAAGTGCCAATGAGCAACGACCCTGGTCATGGCTCAATAGTGAGCACTATGGATATTAAAAGAAGATGCACAGCTCCTAGCTGTCTTTAAGATACTCACCATCTTGTTTAAGGTGCCAGAACTCTTGACTCCTACTTTCATTAGGAGCAGTATCTTAGTGTGTATGCTGATTCCTGGATCAGTAATAAGAGACTCAGGATTCCCAAGCAGGGCATGAAGTAGAGGTTGATACATTTGTGGCTGGCTTTATTGGGCTTGCCTAATGAGAGCTTTCTAAATGTGCTCATTCACCTTTTTCCTTTAACACTTTCTTAAAGTTTGTTATTTCTTTTATTTATTTTCATTTCACATGGTCTGCACTGCATCTTTTCTCTTCTTTCTACATGCTAGAAAAAAAATCACCCTTTACAAGCAACTCTTTTTCCTGTGCAAAAAAAAAAAAAAATCTTTTTGCCTCTTGAAACTATAGCAAAATAATCAAGTGACCTCACTGAGAAACTATTTCTAACCTCTGTAATATTCAGGCTTTTTCATTTGAAAGCTTTCTCTTCCCCTCTGTGTCTATGTGTATTTGTTCTATTGATTCAGACTATTCATCTAGTGAGCACAGACAACATCTAATTTTATTTTCACTAAAACATTAACATATTATTAATGCTTAGCAAGTAAGAAAAATAATAATGTCTTCTGTTTCTCTTTTTTCTTCCACCTCAGGATTTCACATGCAAAAAAGAGATTTTTAAACTAGAGCATGGATAGTTTTGGCTAATAGGGCATAGGATGCCTTTTAGGTTCTGCCTCCCCTCCCAAACACAAATCTCCAGTCAGCAGTGCCTGCCTCGCTGTGCTCCTTAAAGACATCAAGAATTATCACTCCAGCACCACTAAACTAAACCCATTCATTAAGGCTTAGGTAATTCACAACATTCCCAACAAATCTTTTTTTGCCTATAATAGCTGTTGATGATTCATTCTTTTGAATTTAGAACATGCAAAGATCTAAAAAGTTAATAGCACAACATAGCATGCACCAGAAAACCAAACAGGCAAAATTGTTTATATAAAATTAGATCAGCAGCTCCTTAGGAGCAAGCTGCAGAATTCTACAGATGATGCTCTCCACATAACACACACACACACACACAAACACACACACACACACACACTGATTGAAACCATATGAAAATACTAATGGACACTTCCTTCTCAGGGACTGCATCTATTTCCTAAGTCTCTCTAGACTCCTCAGCAATAATAAACATGAAAAGTGCTGGATACACAGAAAGTTTACAGAAGATTCTCACTGATATATCCCATGAGAAAACTGAAGATATTATCTGTTTGAACTGTAGAATAAAACCATTTTAAGACAATAAGTCAAAGACAGAGTATTGAATATAAGTGACAATGTTTGCAATTAATGGGTGGGATTGAGGACATACAGCATAGAGCTTCCCAATTTATGCAGTTTCAATGAAGAAACATGTGTGAAGGGAGGAGATTTTGGTAAATTAGACTGAAATAGACTTTGCCTACTGAAATAGACTTTGATATCATCTGATGCTAGGCATTCTCTTACAGAGAAAGAAGAAGAGTGGAACTTTCCTGACCTAAACTGAACAGTCAAAGGTGTCCTCATTCCTGACAGTGTCTTCTCAGAGCCTTCAGCACTAATGCAGCATATGCACTCCTTTCCTCTGGAGAAAGTACACCATATCTCTGCACAGAGGCAGGCGTAAAATTTCCTTTAGAGTTCCCAACCATGTTCAAAGGGAATGGATTTAATGTTATATTCATCCCGGGTGACAATACAAATTTCAGATCCATTTGATTACTTTATTTCTCTAGCAACAAATATGAAAGTATCCTTTAATGATGGCAGATCAATGGTATAGTGTGATGACAGATAAACATTGTTCAAATAACTCAACACTCAATGGAACAATTAGGATTCTTTTTCTGAAATGTTTTTGGTTGTTTTCAATCTTGCAACTTGACTTTTCTAGTTTAGGTAACAGCAAGCAGTGCTAGACAGAGTGACCAGGACATTTTCATAAATACTGAACATCATCAGACATCTATAATATGCAAAACATCCTTCTGGAAACCAAAAATCCTTCAAAATTTTGGGGTTTTGGTCACAAGAATAGAATGAATGCAAAAAATTCTAATAAAAGAAGACCCTAAAGAATTAGTGGAAGACTACTACTTCAAGATACATCTCCTGATTTTCATAACTGTGGAATAGTAATGATACTATGTTTCAGAAGTAATATCCATAAAAATTATCAAGTTGTCAATTTTAAAATATGTGATTACACTTACTTCTTTGAAGTTCTCACTTCTAACACAGTTTACCTACTGACAGAAATGTTAACTTCATTTATAGATCCTGGTTTTTAGGTTTTCTCTGAAGAGCATCTTTATTTGTGTTCATCAAAATAAAACTAGTACAAAGTAGTGAAAAACAATGTAATTTTGCATGTTTATCACACTTTACAACTTTCAAAGTATTTTCATTGACATTATTTTAACAGGTCTAATGTCTAATTGTGTTGTCACAGAATATGCATGGTCAGTTATTGTGCTGCTGAACCGCACATATGCATGTTGTTACTAAGATCATCGTCATCATCATCATCATCATCATCATAATTGTGCAAAGAAGTCTGCGCCTAAAGGAACTTGGTGAGTGACAGTGACAACTGGCATTTGTCAGATTCATCAGACAAAAAGAAAATTGCTGGCTAAACTCCACAATCTAAAATTAGTTAGAAGTTATTCTACTTGAAAACTTGTGTTGCTGCTGGTCTATCTTCTCTGGAACAGAGGACATGGCCTGGCAGCACTCAGCCTCAGGGCACCCAGCAGTCTGTGACCTCAGTGCATCACCCCGGTCTCCTCCTTAGACACAGGCCAACCTCTTCCCACCAGAGGAAAGCAGCAATGGATTCTCCCACCCTTAAGATCAAAGTCATTGAATTAGGACCTTCAAACTTTGTTTTAACCCCAACAGGGAAATGGCTCTGTGGATAAACACATTGAGGCTGCAGCCACCAGGGAAAAGAATTGGCTCCTGGTGCCAAGTCACTGGCATTGCCAGTATTCTTTCCTACCGTGATTAGCCGAGGGCCTCTGAGCTTATTGGCAGAGTCAAAGAAGGAAAGAGAAGCTGGCACAAATACATCATGCCCTAATCCCTAAAGGGAACTTGAGAGACGAGCTCGGACAAATTTCTCAAGCAGAGAAAGCCCACCAAGTCTATAGGAACTGGGGTACAACGTAAATAGAATTGGGGAAGCAGCAAGGACCCAAGAATGATGTCCTGGCACTGCCTTCCAATCCCGAACATCACAGTTGCCTAGGTCTGATCTCCAACTTTAAAGACTTGACCCCACATCCAGGAGGGGTAGCTTCAAGCCCACGGTCATACGTAGGCTGTACTGTTTTCTGGTCAGAAACAAGGTGTGGGAGAAGTCCTTACCTCGTAGTGGGCCACACGCTGAGACTCAGATATCAGCTGTGCACTGCACACCTTGCAGTAACTGTCTGTGAATAAATCCTGATCGATGTCGGAGGACTTCATCAGGCTAAAGGAAAATTAACAGAAAAGAAAGGAAAAATTGAGTTCACTCCCTTGATGTTTATCCAGAGAGTAAGCGTTCAAACAAAACAAGCAGGAGCACAGAAACGGATCTAATGAAGCTAAGAGCTCCCCAAATCATGATGCCAAATATAAATTAAAATCAAACTCTTGCTGAAAAATATATTTAGTGAACTAGAAAATAATCTACCAGTAAAAACAAAAGAAATTTACAGATTACTGCATACAGAATTATTATTAATAAACTTGTTTTAAAATATTTAAGGTACAGAGGAAAATATTACAGGAAAAATAAATGAAATATGGTTATCTTTGGTAGACTATAATCATTTATTTGACCACGCTACGCTCCAGGCCTCTTTCCAGACACATTATAAAACACTTCCTACCCATTTTCCACAATTACTACACCATATCTGATGGGGTTCAGACAACAAGTAACAAATCATAGAAAGAAATATATAAATATATGCCTCTCGGAGAGCCCAGCAAGCTATGGAGAACATTCCGCCCACACGGGAAGAGCCTGGCAAGTACCCCGTGGCGTATTTGATATGCCAAATAGAGTAACGACAACAGGTCTCATTCCCCTGACCCTGAAAGAGACTCCAATCGTTGGGAAATATGAGTAAAAAGAGGCTGCTAAAATCTCAGGACTGGGAGGAATAGAGACATTACTGGAGCCCACTCAAGTAATTTGACGGTCAACTGGATGACAGTGATAGAGTGAATCATTTATTTAATTTTCCTTTCTTTTAAAAAACGTCTACAAGGAGCATGTATTCTTTAGTACACAAGAGCAAGCTTTAAAATCAGTACAAAACCCAGTTTAAAGTGTAGTTGTTGGGGCCAGAGAGATAGTATAGCAGACAGGGCACTTTCATTGCATACAGCACCTGGGTTCGATCCCTGGCGCCATGTATGTTTTCCCAGGCATAGCCAGGAGTGGTCCAAGAGTGCAGAGCCAGGAGTAAGCCCTGAAAACCACCAGGTGCAGGTGGCAGAAAGCAACCTCAAATCATAAAAAGGAAATAAAGTATTTAAAGGTTTTAAAAAACAAATTAGGCTAAACCATGATGTCCCTCACAAGTTTATAACTTGTATATAGAGAAACTCTTACCATTCCTGCTGATTCATCTATATTTAGGGTTGGTGGAATTCTTAAAGGTCAGTTCTACTATTCTATACCACAAATGAGTCACAAAGGAAAATAAAAATATTGTCAAGTTCCAAACCCTGAAACAAAATATAGTCAAGGGTCAAATATAGTCTTAGTATTGTAGATGTTATCTACCACCAATGTCGTCTATAGCTGCTGGAATATACTGTTACCATACTGTAAAACACCCACAAGTCTGACTGTTTTCCCATAACTCATGAACTCGACTTTCTTTCATCTCTTACGTGTCAGGCAAAAAGCACAGACAGGCCAGAGAGCGTGCTACACAAAGGAGAAGGAGAATTCTTGGACCACAGGGAGAGGCAAGTATCTGGTGTTTTCTCCCCTGTGTTACTTTAATGTGTGGAGATTATTTCTGAGTTATGTTGCGGAATACTGACCTGCCTTGACCAATTTCCATTGCCATCTCCAGAACTTTCCGATGTCTAATGCCACCTGCAAGTTGTGTGATGCTGAGTTTCTAAGCCCTGTTTGCTCTCTATAGATATTGAGTTATTTTTTGCTATTACACCTTAGAGAATTGTGGTTAATATCCAAAGGACAAACACAGAAGAGACAACATGAATTGTGAAGTTTTTGTCAGATGAAAAGGATCATTATTACATTTTTCAAGACAGCCTAATGTTGGTAAGATGTTAGCCAATTTTTAAACAGTACAACGGAATAAAGAATTATGGTCCATTTTTGCTGACTTAAAACCAACTAAATCACTTGGCCACAAAGAAAAACGTCTGCCTTGGTGGGGGGGAGAACTTTCTTGCTCCAAAACTATAAACTAAATTTTTATTCTTGACCTTAGCTGAAATGGCCTATAGGAACATTTAACTCTCTGATTCAAAAAGATTCATAGTTTCTGTTTCTTATGAGACAGTTTTACCTTTGGTTTTCATATAAGTCCTGAGTACCAAGACTAATGACAAACAATAAAACCCTGATATTTCTGAAAGGATCATTTCTGGCAGACTGCCCAAACAGCCTGGGGTTCATCACCTGCAGTGCCTAAAAGATCAGTATCTCTAAGGGCAATCCGCTCCCAGCGTCTGAATATTTTTCAGGTTGACTCAAGATCCATTCCACTTCAGCTTGCATTGATTCTGCCTTTGCTACAATGCACGTCAATTGTACTCTCCCTTTTCATAAGAATTCTCCCTTCGCTGTTGGATGATAGCTCACTTTCAGGAATGCCAGCTCTACCCTGCCTTATCATTTTTGTCGGATTTCTAGATGAGTCTTCTTCAAAGTCAGTGCCGAGGACATAAGGAAACTCTCCAGAGATGGTCTACCAAGGCAGAGTATCACAAATCCAAATGATCACTCAAAATATCTACTCCCATTTGTAAGAGTCTCCACCCATAGCCTTAATACAAATCAAGACAAGGTACTCCGATGACAGGAAAATGTAGTAGAACATTCTGAAATGTCGGATAGGAAAAGAAAACGTTCTTAGGTGTATTTTTGAAGCTATGCTCCTATATGGAGTTACATTTAAATATTATTGTGTTCCCTGCTATTTCTAATAAAGAAGCTCACAAAAATAGATTCAATGGTGACCTGGTTAATAGGAATTTCCAAACTCACTGCTCACTCCTTCCTCATTATACAATCAACTGCAGAAATCAAACACTGTGAAGGGATAGTTAAAGTACCTGTCGACCAGTGGGGCCCATAGGAGTCAGAGTCGGGAAAGCAGCTGTGCAGTAAAATAGCTTTAAAGACCTAATAGAAAATGTGTGTGTGTGTGTATCAAAGTGAGAAGAGAATATTATGGCTTTTTCCACTATTTTATATAAGAATATTGATTGAAAGAAGCTACACAGTAAAATGACAGTGAAACTCCCCAACCCCAAAATCTCTGAGGCTTGAATAAGTTAAACTCCACTGGGAGGCAATTAGTGGACAACTGTCAGCCAGGTTTGTACAGAGGCATTTCTCCATAAAAAGAGAACTTTTACTTTGTACAGGTCATTTTGGACAACCAAAGGGTCTGTATTTTAATTAAAGGGTGGAATTCACAAGGACAAAGCTGCCTTGAGTTCCCCTCCTACTTGTTTACATCAAATTCTCAGATTTCAAGGGCTTTCAGAAGCATCAAGAGAGAGGAGAAACCATATTACCTTTCTGAAACCTTGATCAGGTCTTCTGTCAGCAACTAGAGAAGAAAGAGACCAGGGTGGGTGACCAGTATCTGATCAGTTCCTCTGTCCTATCAGAGGCCGTGTTCCATGAGCGTGTTCATTGCACTATATACAGAAGGCTCGGGACATACTGAAAAGGGAGATAAGGGCAGGGGAAGGATGTGCTTCTATTCCCTGAGTGTAAATTGGTTCAAATGAAAACTTCCTTAGTGATGTAGAGGGAGATCTACTCCCATCTCTCTTCTGTACTCACAGAAGACAAAGCCACCTGTATTTTAGAGAAGGGATGCTGAGGAGAGGTAGAGATAAATGTTAGTGCAGGGTCCTGATCAGTTTCTCTCATATGCTGCCCTGTCTCTCTATACAAATAAATCAATGCCAGTATAAGATTCAGAGACATGGATAAGCTATAATAAAGAAATGCAGAGAGGAGAACCCTTGAATTTTTTGTTTTCTTTTGTTTTGCTTTGATGATGAGGGGTTGGTAATACTCTGTAGTGCTCAGAGCTTACTCCTGCCTCTGGACTCAGGGATCATTCCTGGCAGAAGAGATATTTTGCTAATACAGTAATTGTTAGTCGACAACACTCTCTATGAGGCCCCAGAATAATAGAAAGCACAATTCCTGTCTTCCAAATCTTTAGGAGACTCTAAGTGAGAAGAGATGCATGTACACACAGACTTAATTTGACTGCAAAAGCACACTACAGGATTTGAGAAGACAAGAGAGATTGTAAGGAAGATAGAAAGATCCTATAAAAGTTGAAAATTTCAGACTGGATAGGATTAGGGTGGAGGTAAATAAGATTACAACTCAAAAGCTGCCCTTTTTTTCTGGCACAAAGAAAATCTTACTACCAGTAGGCATGAGAAGTTGCATACAAGGGGCATTGGTGGGGCTAATTTGGGATCACGCAACATAAGGGGAGGAGGCAGCAAAATGCAAGGAAGAGCAGGGTACCGAGCGCTCAAGACCCATATGGAAAGAGAGTCTGAGGGAGAACAGCCAGGTCCCAAAACATCTCTTGAGGTGCAAGGAATGGCCTTTTTCAGGATCTTCAGATGCAGATACAAAGATATCTTTTTCTACTTCTTTCTGCATCTCATCAGCAGATTTCAGGAACACAGGCTGAAAACCTAGAGAATCTTGGAGCTTTGCCATAAAGGGTAATAGTCTTTATTCCCTTCCATTTCTGATAGTGCTAAAACAGTGTCTGACTCAGACACCCCCTCCCTGATTCTCACAGGGTCTTCAGAAAAAGGCTTTTGTTTTAATCCAGTTTTGTTCAGACTAACTCAGTTGTTGAGCAAGTTATATATTATTTTTTAACCTTGTGGCCTCATTCGTAAAGTGGGGAAAAGAATTTTCACAGGGATATTGTGAGGTTTAAAGATGATATATAAAACAAAGTCGTGGCATATGGCAAGCACTCGAAATCAAAGCAATACTGTTATTATGAATATTATTCTGTATTTATAATTATTCTTACTTTCAAGAGGGATGCTATAAATATTGAAAGAAGAGAAATAAATAGAACCACATTAAATACAAAGGATGAAGGCAACAACACAGCATGCAAAAATCAGATTTTAATTGACATAATACACTCTCTCTTCTGAATTCACATCATCCCAAAACACATCTGGTTTGCACTTAATTTCACTGCCATT